CTTGACTGTGGCCAGCGCCGCGCAGGTGATGTCCAGTGTCAGGTAGAATTCGCAGTTGCGAAGCCCGCAGTTGAGATCATAGCATTGAGCAGAGTCATAACGATCGACCCTGTCAGAGGAGATCTTACGCGCGAGGGCGCACTGCTCGAACGGATCGAGCACGTCAAATGCCGCTGAATTATCGATGCGGGGGGGGGGGGGCCTTGCGAGACGTGGTCAGCGTCTCGATGGCACGACCCCCCCCCGCCCATTCAGAAGTACTGAACATGTTTGGGGTATGCCTTGGGTTTCTTAGAGGCAATCAGAGCATTTACGTATCGGTTCGCAGCTAGTACATTCCTCTGTGTGGCTTCTGGCGGAACAGCTGAGGGCTGGCGCAGGTGGCTGGTTAGAGCACCCAGCGTCCCCAACGTGCGCCCCGCGGGCCCCGCTTCCTTCAGCTGGAGGCCTCTGCAGGCCCTGGCGGCTGCCCCATGCGCGTCGCTCACTACGTTTGACTTGTGCGAGCATCAGGGTCCCGAGGTGGAACCCAGTGCCGTAGGTCCTGCACCCACCGCCATCCTGTCTATCAGAATGGCGTCTTTCCCCCTTTGCTGAAAGCCACTCCCAGTGGAGGGAGGTGCTCTCATGGGCGCCAGGCCCACGAGGTTCTTCTCGGGAAAAGTCAGGCCGGCCAGTTTTTGACGGCCAGCAAGAAGACATTTCCAGCGGGCCTGTGCAAAGCACTTGCCGCGGCCATCGTCGACAGCGTCAGTTCCTTCCTTCCCTCGGTTGAGACTCCCTCTTCCGTGGATGTTGTGGACGTCGCGGAGTATCCGCTTAACCTCGAGGAGATCAGAAATTCGTTGGGTGATTTCTTTGCGTTTTTGGACCGCCTTGCCGTGGAGGAAACTGTCCCAGCGCCCGACTTTGCAGGTTTTGTTTCTCGGGGTTGCCGTAGAAACGATCCCCACCACAAAAAAAACATGTTTTTCGATTCTGATTCTGAGCCTGAGCCTGAGGAGAATACAGTGCAAGATCGTGCTGCCACGGATCTGCTGTCTACGCCCCACTTTGACGGTTTCGAGGATGCTGAGACGGAACAGTCGGTGGCCGATCTTCTTCTCGGCTCGCCAAAGAACAGGCCGCGGCCTGGCAGCTGATCCCCCCCCCTCTTCTCCCTCTTCCCCGCCTCCGCTTCCACCTGCTCCCCTTCCCCTCTCCTTCGATCGGCTGGCCAGGATCGCGGCCAACCGTGCTCGTGCCAGGGCCATACGAGAGTTTTGACGTGCTGCAGAGCACGCCAGAAGAGCCCCCTGGACTTCAGGAGGCGCAAGCATCCTGCGCGGGTCCTTTTTTCCCGCCAGAAGGGGGTGTTGTTTTTTATCATAAGATACGGACGGTGGCGCAAGTGGTATACGCGCCGCCCGTCGCAGGCCTTGAAGGACGGAACACGGTGAACCCCAATCCCCGCGTTGAACAACAACCCCTCCCACTTATGCGTGTCCTCCCTCCCCTGCCCCTTCCCCCCTCCTCCTCGTCCTCCCCATCCTCGTTTCCCTCCTTCTCCTTCTCCCTCTCGTCCCCCGCGTCCCGCTCCTGCTTCTCCCCTCCATCCCCTCCCTCTCCTCCCTCTCCTTCTCCCTCTCTTCCCCCGCCTCCCGCTCCTGCTTCTCCACCTCCATCTCCTCCCTCTCCTCCCTCTCTTTCCTTCCGTCTCTCTCTCTCTCCTGCCTTCTCCGGCCCTCCTCGTGCCCATCGCAGGGCAAACCATGCTGGCTGGGAGGAGGAGATCGCCCACGTCAAAGAGGACGCCACGGGGGCTGGCATGGCGATTTTGGAGTGATTGAGCAAGGGCATGGGGAGGAGGAGGGGGAGGAGGAGGAGGAGAAGGAGGAGGAAGAAGAGGGGGAGGAGGCGGTCGTGGTGGACGACAATGGTGTCAGTAACGATTGCGATGGCGTTGCCGACAGCAGCGCCGACCATGCGAACGGCGATGGCCTCATCGTCCTCCTTCTTCTCCCGCGTTCGTTGTCGTGCATCTGGACCTGCTCCAGGGGAACTGCAGCTGTAGGTGAGCATGCGCTCTGGTTTGTAGTCGTGCGGTATTTATCAGGGCGCGTGCTCGTCGGAACAGGTGAGGTCTCTGTTCGTCGTTTCGCGCGAGGAATCGGCAATTCCCTGTGTGTTCGTGTGTGTGTGCCCGCAGCGATATGAGTCCGTCCGACAGGTGCGTGAGACATGCAGAACACGTGGTGCAAGCACATGCATTCCTGTTTCACATAATTGTGAACGTGTACATAGATACATCGCACATCTACGCGTATGTATGTACATGTGTACACATGTATTCTCCGCGTATAGAATTGTATAGACGGGCACATCGTCGTATTGGTTTCGACATGCGATGGATCCGCATGCGATGGGTTCGCCTACATATGTTTATGCGGACACGAAGATATAATATGCCACCGACATTCAACTATACGCACATCGAGGTATGTATGCACGCATGCATGCATACGTGTCTGTGTGTATGTATTTATTCAGGTAGGCTTTTAGGTTGGGAGACAGGTCTGTATGTATGCTTGTAACGCACGTGTGCGTGGATACATGCATACATGTATGTATGTACGTAAGTGTGTGCATGTATGTAAGTAAGTAAGTAAGTAAGTATGTATGTATGTATGTATGTATGTATGTATGTATGTATGTATGTATGTATGTATGTATGTATGTATGTATGTACGGATGTAAGTATACAGTTATGCACATAGCTTTGTATAATTATGTATGCATGGATGTGTGAATGCATGTTTGTCAGTCTGTCTGCCTGGCTTTCTATATGATCTGAAACAGGTGCTGTTCAGACTCTGGGGCGCCCCCAGACTCTGGGGGTTGGGGGTTGCTCCGACTTTGTCTCTCGTTGTCCGACTGTGTCTCCTCGCTCCTACCCTCTGCCTCCTTCTCCTGGTCCTCCTCCCTGTTTCTCTTCCTACTCTTTCTTCGCCTGCTTTTCCTTTTTTTTTTTTTTTTTTTTTTTTTTTTGTTTTTCCCAGTCCTTTTCTTCCTCTTCCTCCTCAGCCCCCGCCCCACCCGGCCACCAAACCCCGTCCCGTCACCAGCAGCGGGCAGCAACGACGCGTTCCAAGCGGACCAGGACTTCTCCACCTCCTCTCCTCACCTCCTCAATCGCCTCCTCCTCCTCCTCCTCTCCTCCTCCTCCTCCCCCTCCTCCTCCTCCTCCTCCTCCTCCTCCTCTCCTCCTCGTCCTCTTCCTCTTCCTCCTCCTCCTCCTCCTCCTCCTCCTTCTCCTCCTCCTCCTCCTCCTCCTCCTCCTCCTCCCCAAGAGGCCTCTAAGACGCCCAAAATGTACTCCAAGACGGCCCTGAAGCGCCTCAAGAGGACCCCACATCGGTTCAGAGAGGCCCCCAAGACGGCTTCCGACGGCGTCAGACCCGTCAGACGCGCCAGGAACGCTTTAAGACGGCCAAGGAGAGGCCCCCAAGACGCCCCCAAGGCCCCCAAGAGGCCTAAGGAGGCCCCCAAGACGCTTCCAAAAGGCCCCCGGGAACCCCCCAGGAGGCCCCACAAGAGGCTCCCAAGAGGCCTCCTCGTCCTCCTCCTCCTTTCCTCCTCCTCCTCCTCCTCCTCCTCCTCCTCCTCCTCCTCCTCCTCCTCCTCCTCCTCCTCCTCCTCCTCCTCCCCCTTCTCCTTCTCCTCCTGCCTCTCGTGATCCTCCCCTCAGCCTCCTCCAAGTGTTCCCTGAAGAGTTTCCCGAGCGGCTGGGGGAATCCATAATCAGATAGCTTGGCCAAGCTGGGGCCCAACGTTTGGCCACATAGGCGCTTCTCAAAAAGGCTGGGGGCGGCGGTGAATCGCCGTAGGCGTCTTGGATCCGCCGCCCCCTGTGCTTGCCACAGGGGTGGAGGGCGTGCCAGATATGTTGCTGCTCTTGTTATTTTCAACCCTTCCCAGTGGCCTTCGGGTCGACCAAGAGGTGGCCAGGAGACGGGACGAGCACGCCAAGAGCTTCAACGTGCAGTTCGACTTCCCCCCAGAGGTCGACCAGCGTTGGGGAGACCTCGGACACCGGATGGAAATGGCACTAGAGGAATTCCTTGCCGACCCCGCCTTCTCCGTCGTCCTCTTCCTGGTTGCAGGGCTGCGCCCCCGCAAGTGCAACGTCGAGGGCGTCCCCTCCAACCGTGCGCAGTTTGACGGGGAAGCCTGGAGCCACTTGGGGTACCTGCGCAACGTGGAACTAGTGCTAGACGCGGGCAATCTGGTGTACAACATGACCTGGGCCACCCTGGTCTGGCCCGTTGGCCCAGGCACTTCCTGGGGCGACCCCCAGTGCCGGATTTCTTTTGACGAGTTGCCTCCCAGGCCGCAGGTCCAAGGCCGCGCCGCTTGGAGACCCCAGAACGAAAACCGCTGCACCCCACCTGACTTCCAGCACCTGGTCCCCCATGCATGGTCCCACGGGACCAGGACCTGCCCGCTCCACCGTGTTTACCCTGTCTACGCAACCCTCGTCAGCCTCCTACAGGGCCACGATGGAACCACGCAGCACCGCGTCGACCTGCTTGACCCCGACGACCACATCATGTCCACCGAGAAGGCCCGCTGCGCTCTCATCATCATGCTGCTCATGAAGCGTGAGCCCTGGGACCGTCTCTGGCCCTTCCCCGACCCTTCTGGGTCAGGGGGCAGGCTTGAAGCCATCCTGGGTGTCTGCTGCCCTTGGCAAAACGACCACCGCCACTTCCGCTCCCAGTTCGCGGCCTCCTGGGGACCCACGCTCTCTGACCTCCGTCGGCTCCGCGGGCGGCTGGAGGGGCTGATCGCCTTGGCGGGCAAGCTCGTGACTACTGCCCACCACCGCCCCGCCGCTGAGGCCGCCCACTGCTCCATTATAGCGCTGAGATGGAGAACTCCCCCTTCGAGCTAGAGGCCCCTATGCTGGTCCTGGAGGAGATTGCGAACCCGGCCAACATCGGCATCCTGTCGCGGTCGGGATGCAGCATCTGATCGTTGATCGTTGATCGTTGATCGTTAATCGTTGTGATCGTTGTGATCGTTGTGATCGTTGTGATCGTTGTCGATCGTTGTTATCGTTATCGTTGATCGTTGATCGTTGATCGTTACCGTTGATCGTTGATCGTTGATCGTTGATCGTTGATCGTTGATCGTTATCGTTATCGTTATCGTTGTGATCGTTGTTATCGTTATCGTTATCGTTATCGTTGATCGTTGTGATCGTTGATCGTTGTGATTGCGAACCCAGCCAACATCGGCACCCTCTCGCGGTCGGGATGCAGCATCTGTCTCCTGCACCGGGACCTCACAGGCAGCGACGGCGGCTTGACGACTTACCTCATAAACAAAATCCGAGGTGCTTCGCGTAACCCCACCAGCCCCTACGCTGAGATGGAGAGCTTCCCCTTTCAGCTAAAAACCCTTATTCTGGTCCTGGGGGAGATTGCGAACCCGGCCAACATCGGCATCCTCTCGCGGTCGTCGGGGCCGGAAAAGAGGGGGGTGATGACTAGGGGGGGGTGGATTTCATGGCGCGGGCCATGGTTTTTCCTCTTATTTCATGGCGCCTCTTCTTATTTCATTGCGGCCCTGGCCCCCCCGCTGGGCCGCGCACGTGCCCCCGGTCGTGAGTTGCACCCCCCCCCTCTTGGACACCCCACTGTTTTGCCGCTCCCGAGGTCGGGATGCAGCATCTGTCTCCTGCGCCGGGACCTCACAGGGCAGCGGCGGCGGCTTGCGGGGCCCGACGCCGGACCCCTCAGAGCTGTCTCTTTCCCTCCGCGGGGGCTTCTCCTTCGGGCTTTTGCCCCCCTGGACAGGGCGCCACCGCCGGCCCCACTCCCCGGCGTGACCATGCCCCCCTGCTACCTTCAGGGGCGGAAAAGAGGGGGGTGACGATTAGGGGGGGGTGGATATCATGGCGCGGGCCATGATATTTCCCCCGATATCATGGCGCCTCTTCTTATTTCATTACGTACCTGGCCCCCCCAGCGTGACCATGCCCCCCTTCTATCGGGGACCTTAAGACGGGGGTCAATGCAAACGGGGGTCAGCCAGGGCGTCAGATCCTGCAGGATCCTGCGAAGACCCCCTCTGGCTGACCCGGGTTTGGGAGCCGCTCGTGGCCGCGAGGCGGCCGCACATCTTGGCCGACCCGGGTTTGCGAGGACCTGCGTTGCAGTTTGTTTCTCCTGCATTGCAGTTTTTGGTTTCCTGCTGACCCGGGTCTGGATTGACCCGGGTCAGAAGATCCCCGATGCTACCTGGCCTCTTGCGACGCTCGCTTCAGCGCCGACCGGGAGACGGCCAGGTACAAGTGCGACTGCTGCTACGCGCCCAACCTCGAGCGCGCGGACGGCTCTTGGCTTGGCGGCAATATCCGCTCGTATCGTACCCAGAACCGCCTGCAGGCGCATGCCCACGGGTTGGACTGCACATGGCTTTGCGGTCAATGCTGGACACGCGTGGTCGAGAAGGAGGGTCACCGGCTGTCCCCGGGCCACTTTCTCCACGAGAAGGCACAGGCCGCTGCGCTCGCCGGGAACCCCTTCCAGGCCCCCCCCCCCCGTGGATGCACTGCCCCCGACCGCCTCCGAGCACGCGTTCTCAGCGCTCCCCCACGCCGCGACCCCTGGCGCCCTCGAAGATTTCCTGCTGGAGCCCTCAGACCTCCATGTCCCGAAGAATGCCAACACCACTTAACCGCCCGCGCGGCTAGAGAGAGGGCGACAGATTTGGGTACATGGCAGCTAAATCCAAGTGCCACACTGCCACGTGCGATGGGTGCCCGTCCGGCCCCCCCCTCTTCCTCTGCAAGCAGGAGCGCCTGCGCTAGGCTGTTTTGTACGGAAGGCTTACGCGGAGTCGCGGCAAACAAGCGCGGGTGGCCTCCCAGCGTGGGGGGGCCGTGCTGTCGCCTGGAACGACCGCCGCTGGAACATCAATGCTTCGTTCGTGCGTGGGGCGTGAAGCCAGGCGCCGTCGACGACGTGCTCGACCAGGACACCCGCCTGGTCTACCCCCGCCCCCCAACCTCCAAGCCACACCCCGCTCCGCCAGTGCCTGGCGAACCGCCCCTGTCCAGCGAGCTCGCGCCCAATGGGCCGATGCGGACGCCCCCCCGCGGCGCGCGGGGCCGAGGAAGTGCGCGACCTCTTGCCACATGTGGACTCCCCCAAGGACCCGCACTGAAATGCATCGACATTGATCACCTGGAGGCTGCCGAGGAGTCGTAACGGTACCGCCTTAACGCTAGGCCCATCGAGGTCAGACTGGTCGGTTTTCCACGCGACCTGGACCAACTTTTGGACGACCAGTGGAAGGAATGCGTCGCGGAGCAGGGCAGGCGCGCGATGGGCTCCGAGGCCCCCGAAAGCTGGGGCCCGCCCCTGCTGCGCCCCTTCCTGAATCGGGTCTACGGCGACAGGGTGGCGCCGACCTACCTCCCCAACGACATTGGCAAGGCAAGCGGCTCGCCGCCGCCCGCGTGGCCCCGCTCCTCTGCGTTCTCTCGACCGACCCCGCCATGCTGCCCAAATGGCTCCAGCGCGCCGGTCAATGGTCCATGCGCGGTCCCTCCCCTCTTCGCTGGGCCCTGCCCTCGTGGGATCCTCGACGCAGGTCAGCTCCGATAAGCTCGCCACCGGGTCATTCAAGGAACTGGCCGAGGACGCCCCCATCGTGCGCGCGCAGGAGCTGTGCGAGCCGATCGACAACGTCCCCATCAGGGGGCACAGCGACAACGACTGGTGGGCACGGTTCAGCGATAACCACACCGAGACGGGAGACCCACCGGCATAATTCCACCCCTTTGCCGCCCGCGCGCCCGAACTCCCCGACTGGGGCAACGAGGTGGCGCCCGCCCCGCGACGCCAGTGCGGGGCGGGCCCGCCCTCCCTACACCCGTGGGGCCAGCTCTCGCTCCCCTGATGACGGCCGCCCGCGGTGTGCGAGCCCAACCGCTGACGCATCTGTCATTGACGCAGTAGTCCCGAGCACCTCCCCCCAGCAAGAGACCAACATGGCATCCCCCCTCTCGTCGCTGGGAGCGACGCCGCCGCCGGCCGCGGGGGCGCTGGCTCGGAAACGCCGGTGGCTGGCTCCCGCGACGGCAACCCCCCCCCGCGCCGGGGCCGTCGAGGGGCACCTGTTGCTTTGTCCCCGACCCCGAGCTCGGAACCACCAGTCCTACAGGTTGACTCCTCGGCCGGCCCCGAGGTTGCTGGCGAGCCCTGCAGCCCCGCCTCGCCCGCCGACGGTCCATGCGCCACCCCGGTGCTGGCTGGGCTAGACGACAGAAGCCTCGCGCGCTTCCCAGCGCGAGGGGCCCCGCCTTCCCCTGGCATCTTTCGGCAGGCCCGGGCTGCCAATGCGACGCGCGATGAGTTTGACTGGGGCGGAGGGTTGCGCGAGCGCCGCCCGCGCCGGCGCCGCGAGGCCAGCCGCGGCAGCCCCTGCGGCGGCCGCTGGACTGGATGGACAGGGTGGTCCAGCTGGGGGGCCGACGACCGCTGGAGTCGGCCCGCGCGTGCACGCGCACACGCGCACCCACCCCGTCCTCGACGGCGTCCCCGCCCCCCGGTCAGGCCCTTTGCCATCCTGCAAAAAGTGTGCGAGCCGACCTCTCGCAAGACCTAATCGACCCAGTCGCTGGACTCTACATCTACAGCGCCCCGCTGGAGCGGGTCGACATTCTGAACCGATTGGCGAGGCTCCTGCTGAGACTGTGAAGCGGCTTCAGAGGGGCCTGAGTGAATACTTCAACGGAGTATGGCACCAGTGGATGACCAAGCATCCTCCGCCGTCGGGCCACATCTGCGCTGGCCCCACACGACAGCGCCCCGATTCCTGCTATCGCTTCGTCAAAGAATGGGCTAGTCAGAATTGTGATGTCTTCAAGATGGACGAGTCGCTCAGTCTGGCGGTCAGCCGGGGCGCAGTCCGCGCTCGGTTCAGCGACGGAGCTAGGGCCAAGGGCACCTCTGGCAAGGCCAAAGACAGCGACCCCCTCTGGACAACGACGGTGGAATCCCGAAGGGCCGTGGGCTCGCGCCAGCCCTGGGCGCGCCCCTGAGTTCCGCCCAGACACAGGCGGGCGCGCGCAACGACTCTCATGGACGGCCCGCACTGTGCATGCCTCACGGAGCCCAATCCCTCCTGGCCAGCGAGGCTTGTCGGCTCCTCCTGCGCACCCCTCCTCGTGCGCCAATGCCGCCTTGGGCGTGCCCAGCTGAGGCTGTCGGCTCGTCCTAGGCCTTCGAGCCCCCTCCGGGACGCCACTTTGCGGCCTCTCTCTATCCCCCTGGATGATTGCCGCCCCCCCCCCCGGCACGCCGTGGGCGGCTCGGGGGTCGTTCCCCATCCGAGCGGGCTCCCGTCACTTCTGGAGCCCCTGCGGCACCGATTGCAGCCCCGCGCTGCCCCGCGCACTGGTGCTTGGCCCTCGGTGGCCACCCGGCTTGGTGGCCTGCGCCCTTCGGATTCCCGCCTGACGGCCTCTTCCTATGTCCGCACTGACTGCGGCTGTTAGCCGCCCCCTCCTGCCGCCCCCCTGCCCCCGCCCCCCGGCCGCCCTGGCCGCCTCTCCTCCTGCGGGTGTCCCCTTGCAGGAGGCTTGGGCCCGCCCTGTCCCCGCTTGCTCTGCGGCTGTTAGCTGAGAACGCCACCCGCGCTACGCCCGTGCCCTCGGCGCCCCCCCCGGGGCGCTGGGGCCGGCAGGCCATGGATTCATTGGACCGACTCGCCCATCTTCCTCCTGCGGCTGCCCCCCCGCAGGTGGTGCACAGGCCCGCCCGCTGGTCTCGCTATCTCTGCGGCTGTTGGCTGCGACCCCCCTCGACAGCGTGGCCTGGCCCTCGCCGTTCCCTCCAGGGGCGCTTGCGCCTCGCGGTATTTCGCTGGCCGATCTTTCTAGCCTGCCCCCCCCCCCGCGGCTGCCCCCCCGCGGGCGGGGCGCGGGCGCGCTGGCCACGTACTTTGCCTTTATATGCGGCCGCCCCTAGGGCGCGTCCGCGGCCTCGGCGCCCCCCCCGGGGCGCTGGGGCCAGCTGGCGCTGAGCGTCTCGGATCGACTGCCCCGTCCTCCACCCGCGGCTGCCCCCCCGCAGGAGGCGCGCGGGTCGCCCTTGACGCAGCATTTCTGCGGCTGTTAGCTGCGACCCCACCCGCAGTGCGGCCCTGACCCTCGGCGCTCCCCATTGGGGCGCGCGTGCCAGGAGGTATATCGATCATTTCCGAGCTGTCTGACCCGTCCGTCGTCCTGCGGCTGTCCACCCGCGGGAGGTGCGTGAATTGGTTGCCTTAGCTCCAGCGACCTGGCTGCGTCCGCATTGCCTATGTGGCCCTCGGCGTTATCCTGTGACATTGGCTTAGCGACAGCACGCGCGAGGGCCTTTCCTTGGAAGATGCCCCCGACGGCGCTGCGTTGCACGGGCCCGCGCCTGCCGCCCCGCGCGTCGGTTGCTCCGTGGTGCGTTAGCTGAGCGGACGACTCGTTGCCTGGAGTCAGTGCTCCTTCGTGTGGGTGGCTACGTGGTAGATGTGCAAGACACGCGCTGGCGGCGGCGTCGGCGTGTCACGGTCGGCCCTGATCTTTGAGTTGTTTGGCGAGGGCAACTTCGTCGGGGCGAAGGTTGCCGGTGCAAAGTCTTCGCGAGCAAGTTTGCTGAGGTCCTCTCCGCGCGTGGGCCCGGCCTTCTTCGGCTTTGAGCGCGCTGCTTGCTCGCGGCTTCTGTCTCTGGCCGCTGCCTTTGA